TATTCAAAATTTGTATAAATAGATATTTTTAAACATATAAATTATATTTTAAATTTATGATACATATATTATATTGTGACACAAGAATATTTATAATTATAATTATTGACAATTTGTTTTTAAAATATTATAAATTAATTTAGAAATAAATATAATAAATAAAAATTGAAATAGATAAGTTAAAAGAATCCCTATTATCTGGTTTGTTATTCTGTGTGCATCAACATTACATAGGATTAAAGTTTATCCTACTCTCATATCATATTCTCTCCTACCATATTTTGATCACCAAACACACCCTCATGGTTTTGGAAAAAGTTCAAAAAGGAAACAAGTCAGGTTAAATATATGAATCTCTATGGATATCTGCTTTTCTAACCATTTGATAAACAATAAACAATATAAAATAAAGGAAGGATAATACAAGAACAAACCAGCTTTAAGATTTCAGAAAACGCATTACCATGTCTCACCTCCATATGTAGCGTTGACTTGAGCCATAACTTGCCCACCAGACAGCACTAGATGGTGTATAAGTCATGACAGATAGGCCAAATCCTCTATATAATCCCTTGATGCCATCAGACCTTATCAACTTACGAGTAACATCCAAACCCCCACTATATTGGGCATGGCCTGAGAATCCTTGCACCATTAACTTCTGGCTAACCTTAATATCATTCGATGTAAAGGTAATTAGTATAAAAGAATTGGTGCAATGATACTACTGTTTAGGTAAGAAAGGAGAGATAGAGAGAATAGAAACTAAGAATAACACAATATTAAATTGATATTCAGTATTAAGACGTTATACAAAATACAAAGAGCTTATTAGGTTCTGAATACTACATAAGTAGATAAAGGAACAAATCATGAAATATGGAAACCACTTCTAAGAATCATCTAAGATACTTGTAACACATAACTATGATATTATGAAATGTTTTCTAGTTATTCTATTAAGGATTTATCTACCTTTCAATAAAAGAAAAATGTTTTATCAACAGGAAAACAAAAAAGCACAAAAGAACAGCACAAGGAATTTCATTATCACATTGAGACAAAAGGAAAAGCAAAAAGAAGAGTAAACAAATTAATAAAAGTATTTTTTCTCATTTATCTGAACATGTCATTAACACCCTCCAAAATAAGTGTGCTGTATATAAGAACAAAATAAATTGAAAACATATAAATAGTTAGTAATTGAATCATGTGTCATGCTCCAGAAGAATACATCGCAAGTCTGTAGATAACTTTACTACAAAACCTTTCCCTCAATGCTTAAAAATTTTCTGATAATTGAGATTTATATAGAACTAAATAATGTATTTTCAATATTTTCACTAAATATCAGAATAGAAAGATAAACACCAAGTTAGAGATTGACTCAAAAATAAGTAAAAAAAAAATAGTGATTAACTTTAAAAGTGAATATCTAATACAACTTCTAAAACATATGCAAAAATAAACACAGTAAACACTTTCAGAACAAAAATAAAAATTGAATTGCAACAGACATGTGAAAGAACACCAGTGTATATATTCTAAGTTTCAATATTTGGCATAGTTAAAAACAAACTTCAAAGATTGTTGGTCAGCGTGCACAGTCTAAAAAAGTACCAAACAAACTATGTATTTGAACATACCACCATATCCATATACATAAGTATCATATACGGCAATCAGTGAGTCTAAAAGAAGATACTTTTAGAATTCAAGTATAGAACTACAGGCATTATGCTCAGAAGCTCAGGTTAGGTGAGCTAGATTATCATACCACATCAACTGGCACAAACAGAAGTTGTGACAAAAATGCTGATCCCATGCCTGCAATTCCATTTGCTATGGCAGCCTGAGTAGTTTCAGATAGTGTAAATGGCTCCATCATCCTGAGAGAAGCCGCCTTTGTCGTCTCCAAGGCGGTGAGGAATATGATTCTGGCAGGAATCGTACCAGTGATAACCGGACCAAACCCTTTATACAAACCACGAATACCATCCGTTTTAAGTAATCCTTTCACAACAGAAAATGCACTTCTCTCCAAAGTATCCTTTGAAGCAACCTGCAGCCTAGTTTTCACAACAGAAACCGGGTAGAGTGCCACTGTAACACCCGTAAAGAGTCCTGCTCCCACAACAAAGAACTTCGTTTTATCTAACCTACAGAAATAAGTGGAACTTGCTGAATATATAGAGCTTCAAAACACTTAAGTTTCATAAAACATATTCTTAACAAATCAATCAAATATATATAGAGTAAACCACCACTTTCATCCCAAACTATTACCCTCACTCCTTAATAGTCTCTGAAGTAAAAAAATATATATTTAATTAATCCCCAGAGTATTAAAAATACATCACTTTAATCCCTCAGTTAACACATTTTAGTAAATGTCAAGGATAAATTTGAAGGATTTTTTTAATATTTCTTATTTTTAGTAAGGATTTTTTTTCTAAATTAGCATAAGAAATTGATAGCTTATTCCTTTTCACAGATGAAATATTCATTGAACATATAAGAAAGGCTATATTGGTTAGTCGTGAATAGGAAAACCAGAACAAGAACACAAGCCGCTGGACACAACCTTGAATCTTGAATCTTGTTAGTTCAAAACTTCAAATAAGCATCTTCTTATTGAGAAAAGAATAACCAGTTAACACTACATTTCCGAGTGGTAACATAATCTCAAACTGTCATTACTGCATTTCTTTGATTTCGATTTTGGTTCGTCCAGGATATATAAAGAGAAACTTCACACGCAATAGTCGAATAGAACTAAGTAAAACGTTACACAATTATGAAAAGAAAACCTAAACAGTAAACGAAGAGAGGCAATTGCAAAACCTGTCCCAGTTAATTTCAGAGGCCATTGATTCAGCAGAAAGGGAAAGTGTTCATGAATCGCGTGTTGCTACGGATTTCGAATGTGGAAGAACGAAACTGGGAAGGAAGAAGAAAACTGAAAGCAGAAAGAATATGCTAACTCTTCTTTGTTTCTTGGAGCCAAAATGATTGATTAGTCTTCTCAGCTCCTCTTGTTAATTCTACTCTATTTGTAAAGTAAATTCTCCAACCCGCTAATTTATTGGGTTGATAAAAAATTAAAAATTGAGAGCAGCAAAAATGTCAGAATTAAGGAGAAAAAAGTCAATAAAATTGCGTAATAATATAAAAATATAATAACATCAATCACTTGCCAATTATTTACTTGAAAAAAGGGGGTGTGGTATCAATTTGACGCAAATTCAATTTATTTTATTTAAATAATATAACTATAATAAAGTACCAACTCACATAATTAGATATGTTTGGAAAAGGGAGAATAAAAGAAAAGAATAGGAAAGAGAAAAGAAATGTGTGAAAATTAAGATATGTGTTTTGAGTAACGAATAATTAAGAAGAAGTGTAGAAAAGTGATATGAATCTTAACAAAAAATTTCCCCCATGAGGGAGTCAATCAGATAAAAAAAAAATAATCATAATAATAATATTAATAATAAATAATTAATATAATTTTTATTTATTATATTTAAAATAAAAGAGAGTGAATATGTAATATATATATATATAATAAAAAATTTATTTATGAATATTATATTTATTAATTTAAATAATATAACTATAATAAAAAAATATTTATTATGTTTAAATAAAATTATAAGTATGTTTATTATGTTTAAATAAAATTATTTATAAAAATGTATTTTTTTATTTATTTAAATAATAATATATTTATTTATTTTAAAAAAATTATTTATAAAAATAATCAACTTCCACACTATTCTATTATATTTTTCTCTTACCAACAATTTTTATTTCTACTCTATTTCTTCTCTTTTTTTTCCTTCATTTTTTTCCTTTTTATCAAACTTAGTGTTGCACAGGGCAAGTAGGGATGTTAACAAAGTGGGACAGGTACTAATAGTAGCTCCCACTACTCATCCCACAAAATAAATATTTGTCTCATACCTATCTCCATATTTGTGTGAGTATATGTTAAACATGTACTTATGTATTTTTTTCAATATCATTAGTATCTATGGATATTTATTTTAAATAAATAATTAATTTTAAAAAATTAATAATCATCTCTATTGATCTTAATAATTTATTTAAAAATAATAGTTTAAAACTCAACTTAAATTATTCAAATATTATACACAATTTTATTAATCAAGATTTTTTAATTTAAAAATTAAATTTAATTGTTGAAGTACTTTATTCTCATAAGTTTAAATAAATTTAATATGTAATTATATTAAATATTAGCAGGTACAAATACTATAATATTCATATCCATCCCGTTAATATACGAGTATAGAAAATACATATACTCATTACTTGTGAAGTATCCATTTACAATATTCACTTTCTATCTGTAGTGAATTTTATCCACAAATATCTCCAAGTATAAATTTTTTTGACATCTTTATGGCCAAGGTCTCAAGGGGTTTCGCTGCCCACTTGTTACATTATTTTTATTTTTATTTTTTTAACAAAAAAAATAACAAGAAAAACACTTGTTAACTTATTTTTATTTATTTATTTATTTTATATAATAATTTAATGTTTCATGTAAAATTTTAAAAATAATATGATATAATATAACTTTTCAAGTATAGATTTATATCACTTTTTATAATTTTTTAATATTGAATCAGTCATTAAGTCAATTTAGACATTAGTTAAAAATTTAATAATTTAACCATGATTCTATTGCAATAATTGTGCAAATTAATTAAACCAATCTCTTAAAACAATACCACCAATCAATGAACCTTTTCTTTTCTCATATTGTGGGAACGATACTTTAGACTAGTAACTTTTTTTTTTTAGGTAACTTCCTATTTAATTTTCCATGTTTATGCACTTCTTATTTTAATTTTTAAAACATGTTTCATTTAAATATTTTTATTTAATTTTATTCCATAAAGTTTATTTATTTTATTTTTAAAAACATCGGAAAGTCAAAAGTAAAAAAAAAATTAACTTTAATGTTATTTTTTTTATTTTGTTTTGTGTATAAATAATAAATTGACAAATTATTAATTTTAATTTAAATAAATTTTTTATATAGAATAAATAATGATAGAATATACCTTATCAAAATTAACCACTCAAAATAAAATACAAGCTTTTGAAATGCAATACAATTTTAAAAGAATTTAAATAATTTTTTTTTTAATATTTTCATCCAATCATATATTATAATTTATGGTAAAATTATATAATAATTACTTTAAATTTTATATTTATTAATTTAATTGACGGTATAAATTTTTTTACACTTACAATATATAAAAAGTTAAGCTTGTTTTATAAACTATTAAATGTATTTCATCTCTCAATTATCAAATTAAGAAATTTTACAAGATTTTTAAATATAATTCAATTTCATAAAAATTTAAAAATCATGTAAATTAAGAAATTTTTTAAGGTTTTGGAAGATGGACTAGGATATTTAACAAATTTAGTTGAATGTGACTAGACCAACCATAAATTATAGGTTAAAAATATATATTTAAAATAAATTAAAAATATATATATTTTGTTGAAAATTTTAGTAATGAAATATATATATAATAAGCTAATTTTATAGCAATTTTATTTTGATAAAGAACTTATAAATTTTAAAATTCTTTCTTTTTATCTACGAGAATTAACACATGGGATGAGAGGAATTCACGATATTTACACACTATGTTCAACCAACCGAGTTAAACACAAATTTTAAAATTCTTAATTTATTGATAACATTATTATTTAATTTTTTATATAAATATTATATTAATAATATTAAATACATGTATTATCATGCTCTTTTAACAATACTTTACACTAGTATGTTAGTTGTGTACGCATATGTATGATATACAAGCTAAATTATTCTTTTGAGAATGATAAAAAATTGACAATAAAAGGATAATTTTATCTACAACATATAAATCATATATTAATGTACAATATTGTTATACATTTACAAAAAATTTCATGACACAAGATATTTAATAAAAATTTGTAGATTTAATTCATACATTAAATTAAAATGATATTTAACAAAAATGTTATTTTACAAGTATATTTTATTTTCTGATTAGATACTCGATGTTGCAAGTGACCAAAATGATTATAATAATAACATGTAATGAACTGCAAGTGGTAGATGTGAAGTGATATTGATAATAATAAGAAATTTGAGTTGAGAAACTTAATCATAATTTATTTTGTGCAATTATAAATTCATTTTTATTATTTATTATTACAAGTTCATTATAAATAGTGAAGTTTATACATACTTTTTTTTTAGGGGAGAGTTTATACATACTTATGCGCATCAACAATAGGTAGAATATTATCATGATGTATATAAAGTTTTTTTACTATTCATTCATTAAGCTAATATTATGAATAGTATGTTATGAACATAGATTGAAACTACTATCTTTTTTGGGATATAGAAGATTGATATTGATGTTAGCTCTTAATCAATATATATATTTCGAGTCAAAGAAATAAAAAAAATTAAAAGAGCTTAAACTCATAATGCATATTTGGATATTATTGTTACTTATGTTGAGCACTGTAATTATTTTCTTTGTAAATAAAATTGCCATAAATTATTTAATTTGAACTACAAGTACAAAAATGAAAGTTATTAATATCATTATTATTGGAGCAATGAACTAGGGAGGAAAATTTTTTACTTTGAAAGTTGAAATAGAAAATTTAAGGAAAATGAAGAAATAAAAAGAAGATTATTACTTTTGATTAGCCAAAAGGAGGAAAATTTCATATTCTTTTTCATACTTTATATAGACTAGAAGCTAGAAAGATGCTATACTAAGGTATAGTGCCACTACAAGAGAAGGTTGTTTCATGCTAGGCGTCTAGACCTTCTACACTTGAGTCACATCTCTGGCATACTTGCTACCAATTATACCTTATATAAATAGAAACCTCACACCCACCATTTTAGCATTGGAAACATAATATTAACAAATTGAACTTTTGCTTTTATTCATTCATATTTTAGAAAATCAACTAAAGAACAAAGACAACACATTGCTTTTACATTTAAATACCTAAATCTTGTTTGGAGAGTATGTATTAACTGGCAAGCATATATGATGTTTGTAAATATAAAATTACTCGTACTGATTTACATTGTGTTTGGTCTATATTCTTTTATGTCAGTTAAAATTTGTCATTCTCATTGATATCATTTACAATTTTTATGCCTTGGTGAACTTTAATAAGTTCTTGTTTTCCAATTTTATAATTTTTTATTTATCATTATTTGACCTTATAAATTCCTTTTATCATTTGCATATTGTTAATATTTTCATTTTTATATTAAAGGTACTCAAAGACCGATGCAATGGATAACTTAGGAATTTCCATTTTCCTTTCATAAATAAACAATAATTTTTTTTTGTTATATGAGATATTGAATTGACTTAGTGGTGGCATAAAGGCTTTCATTTTTTTTGTCATAAATGGATGAAAAAGTGACATAAACTCTAGAAGAAACAAGATTGATGTAACTTCTCCTTCAAACTTCTAGTGAAGGATCTTCACTTCTTGGACTCCTTTAAGCTTCTTCAATGGCTTTTATGGATGCTAGAAGTCATTTTCACCACACAAGATGGTGAAGAGAATCTCCTTGATAACGCCACACTCATTGAAGAATGATAAGTCTCTTAAATTTCTCACTACACTGAAAAGAAGATAAGAGAAAAGAAAAAACTTCAAAGAGGTAAACAAGTTTTGAGAGAGAAAATCTCAGCCAAGTCATGTATAAATCTCAAGTTAGTACAAAATGGGTAAAAACTCCTATGTATAGAACTAGGTAGCTTGGAGCGGAAGCTCTAGGAGACAAGGAGGAGACACTTAGATCTATTTTCACCTATCACAAACAAGCCATATGAACATGTTTGAGACATGTAGGAGACAATTAGATCTAAAAGAGCCAATACAAAAGTGCCAAGTGTCATCTTATCTCTAAGTGGTTGAAGAAGTAGTTCCAAGATGGAGAATTAGCCAAAAT